TAATACACGTAGACATCTATCAACTTTACGTAATTTATCTAATAATGGATCTGTCCAACCAGATTTTGTAATATCTTGGGTATTAATATGACGATGACAATCTCTGATTGTTTTTACAATATGTTCTAGACCTCCCAATTCTCTAAGTTCTTCTTTAAACCATTCACCAGCACGTTTTGATGTAAGACTAAGAAGTGTTTCCATAGCAAGTTGACCAACCTGGTTTATAGTATTTTGTCAAATATTTATTCATTTATTGTTTTTATTTATTTCCTAATAATTATGAAAAATATATATACTTACAGTTATATTATCAAGATTTAAATGTTTTGCATGTCCTTGAGCTTGAATATCAGCACACAACTGACGTACTTTTTCTTTATTCTTTAAAAGTTCTGCCCGACTAAGGCCACAATCATCGAGCGCATCTTTGTGACTGGCATCAGATTCTAACAAACTTAACATTAACTCTAAACAATCACGGTCTAAATCCATAGCTAAACGATCTTGACTTAATACAAACATCACTGTTGCTGTACATAAAGCAAGACTCTACAAAAGTATATAATTTCATTTAAATAATAATTTTCTTATACAGCATCAAAACTGATGAAGTTTTTGTATATTGTATAAAAATAAAATTTTATACCTGATCCTTAGTTGCATCATGAAGAGCTTTGAAGAATTTAGCAACAGTGCCATGAGCACGTACATGCATACGAAATGCAGGTGCCATACATTTGCTTGCCAATCTTATAGCTGAAAGGCAGCGAGTAGCATTTGGATTGTTTTCTCTTAAAGTATCTAATATATATTCAACATCGTCGTTAAATTCTTGAAATTCTCCACTTTCTTGAATTTGATGAGCTTTTTTTACATTTTTTACTACAGTGTAAAACTACAAAATAAATATTTAGTATAAAATTCTGAATACATTCCATACATTATATAAAGGATATGAATTATATAATATACATACACCCTTAACTTTCTTGCCACAACGAATACTTGTTATCGCGTCAGATTCATCAGGAAAACCTGTATCAGCTTCAGGATATCTTACAACTCTTGTCAGTTGTGAAAGATCGAATTCTTCTTCATATGCAACAGGACCTGTTCCACTATGTGATCCTGAAGCAATAGTAGGTGTACTGTTTCCAGGATTAGAAGTATCTGTGGTACTACATTCCTTATCACTATCACACCACTTGTGTTTGTACAGAGCTCTTCTTTTATTTCCATTTGTAGCTCCTGTTGAACGACTTTTAAAAATGCTACCCTTCTTAGTAGCAGGTTTCTGAATGGTTGTACATGGAGCATTTAATGGCTGTGAATCTGTGACTGTACTTGTTACATGTAATGCTATATCGTTTTCAGCATTACCACTTACACCTTCACTATCATCACTCCCAGAAAACCAATCTTGATCAACTAAAGTTTTAGCTGCAGCTGTATCATTATCAACAATACGAGTTGTTAGATCTGTTTCTATTTCAGGATCTGGTTCTGGTTCTGGTTCTAGTTCTGCATCTGGTTCAGGTTCTGCATCTGGTCCAGGTTCTGCTTCTGCTTCTGGCTCTACTTCTGTTCCTAGTTCTAGTTCTAGTTCTGGTCCTGGTCCTGGTTTTGATCTTGGTCCTGGTTCTGGTTCTGGTACTGGTTCTGGTTCTGGTTTTGATTCTGGTTCTAATTTTGGTTTTACTTCTGTTTCTGCTTCATGTTCTACAGTAGGTCCAGAAACTACCTCATTTGTTGGAATATCTATTGAACAATGTTGAACCTCATCTGGAACAACTGCTGTATTTTCTTCAGTCTCTGAAGTATTTATTATCATTGGTCTTGTTTGCATAGGATCAGAATCACTTGACAGTATATCAATTAGTTCTTGAGTTGTGGTTGGCAGTGGTTGATCACGCCCAATTAATGGTTCAATTGCTGGTTTGCAGGAGTATGTTGAACCACAATCAGTCTTAACAATATCATAATGAGATATTAGTGTATTATTGGAATCAGTAACAGACTTTCTAAGGGTTAAAGAAAGACCAGAACTATGTGAATTAGGTGTTATTGGTGCTGTAGACACAATAGAAGATGTTGTTGTTAAATCTAAATGCAAATTTTTTGCTCGACTACGAGTAGTTCTGCGCATTTCTGAATTTTCTAAAGGTATTGATACAGTGGAAATAATAGGTTCATGAGAACGAATTGTTTTTTGATCAGATTTGAGTGTATCCATATTAAAGTTTTTACGTTCCACATCTACTTTTGTAGGACTAGCAAGGGGTGTAGAAATCCTATATGTTTCAGGTTCTGGCTGTTGAGTGTTTTGCACATTTCCACAAACCAGTCGTGCAGTGCCTTTACATATTCTCAATACAATAGGAGGTTTTCCTTCTTCTCTAATAGGAGGATCATTATTGGTTCCTTCTAAGGTATCTGCTACTTTCTTAGCTGGAGCATTTGATACTTTTGTTAAAGATTGTTTTGATGGTGGTTGTGGAGAGGTTTTTTGAGCACGAGCTCTACCATAATGTGAATCAGGTACTTGTCTGTATATTGCCACATCCTGGCGAGATTCTTCTATTGAAGGTGGAACATTTCTACTTTTAAAAAATTTCTTAGGTTTAACAACTGGTGGTGCAACATCTGGTTTATTGTCAGGATCAGTTTCAAATGAAAATGGGTCTTTTCCAGAATTTACACGATTTACATTCTGATTTCCATAATCAAGCTTTATTCTTTTTGCACCAAATGTATTATGAATATCATCTCTTCTTCCTATAAATAAAATTACATTATTATCATTTGATAAAAGTAGATGTTGCAATATCAAATATTATAAATACTTTTACACATCAGTTTTACAAAGAAAGATTATAATCCTGTGAAAGATTTTTTACCTGTAGTAAAATTATCATTTATGCGAATGCTATAGTTAACAAACAATGTTAAATAGTTCTGTCTTTTAAATAAAATCATATTTCTAAAAGCAAAATACTTTAAATATATAGAATAAAGCAAAATCTTATTTTACTTAATATCTTTCAATATTCTTGTTAATAGATGTTAAGTACATGTTTAACATTAATTTATTAGACATAAATGAATGTGCGTGATACGCACAATATACAATTTATATTTACAAAGAAAGTGCATACCATTGATATTCGTACTTCTGATAGATGTAAAGGATGTTTTTTTATTTTCCCTAAAAAGCTTATCAAATTGAATACTCCCAGGTGTCACACTACTGACTTTACGACTGTAAGATTTTGTGTAACTACGGGACGTCATGTTGTATTCTTCAATATTTTAAAAGTGTTCCACATCTCAAAAGACACAAATAACAATATCTCTCTTCATCTTTTAAACTCAAGTACATAGAAAATAAGCTTTGACTGTTTGCACACTTGCAGAGAAGTGCTATGAGGAAAAAAAACTTCAATGCATCGGAACGTTGTTCTCGTCGATTATTGAAAACTCGAAAGAAAAAATCAAGAAGCAATATCTTCGGAACATATGAAAGAAACAAACGCCATGTTTCATTTGCTATTTACCCCGATGCACAAATATACGAAACTAACTTCAAATTCAATTCATATTCGAAAACATTGCCTTTATGTTAATTATTCCCAATTTTGTATTTGCACTTAGCTCTTATTATTATAATTTTTATATGTCTGCATAAGTTCAACTAGAAATATTAGTCATAACATGATCTTGAGCCATCTGTCGATGTTTTTCGTTTCAAGATTTAGATACATACCATACACAAAAAAACGAGTAATACAATACACAAGATTGTAATACTTGTCGTCCTACCCAGTAGGTAGAGCTAAAGAGCTGTCTTCTATCTTTTTTCTACCTTACCGGTAGGAAATCGTCCAATCAAAATTTATTTTATTTAATGAATGAAATTACTTATTCTATATTTAGATTTTAGATTTAGAAATATACAATTCTTATATAAAGTTTTATCTTACATATATACAATATTTATTACCAATTTTTAGTTTTATTATTTCATTCTATATTTATTCAAAATTTTTAAACTCGTTCTACCTTAAAAGATTATTTAAATATAATACATCATGATCATTTAAAAAGAATTATTTTGATTAAATAAGAGTAAAACTTACTTATAATTCATAATTATGAAATATCGTTTAAAATAATTCATAATTTAATATCGAAATAAAATGTTTACAACTTTATAAAGTGTTCAATAATTTAAATATTAGATGGGGACATTTTTGTGGGGGAAAAAAAGCGCTGTTACGATCTATAAAATATAATGTATGATAGCCAATAAAAATCGTATTCAGGAAGCTTGTTACATGGCGGTGTCAACCTGTCAAATAGTATTCGCAACTGACAAGCTTTGCACACATTTATATATATTTTACAATGCTTATTGCTTTAAAAATTATATATAATTCTGCACTTAATTGTGCTGTTTTTACCTATACCACATGAAATTAAACATTTTCTAATTAAGGTTAAAAGAATACACCTAAGATTTTACTTTGTCTTTGATAATTCTTAGTTACAAGACATTAAAGTGTAAAGTAACCTATGAATTTAGGCGTGTTTAACAGAGTTAATCTTAAGGTAATTTATCATAATATAATGCTGTTTTCCTATTTTTTTTTATTAAAAATTCATATTTTAATTAATATGCTTATTTAGGATTCCCAAGGAGGAATGTATTCCGAATGGGCTTCTCTAAGTATTTTAATTCAACAAGGCTCAGAAGAAAGCCAAAGTGTTCTAGAGAAATTTTCTCCTGGAGCAGGAAAAGAAGTTGCTTTATCTATTGTACGTCAACTGGCTGCAAATCTTGGTATTACACAAGCAGCTGAGCCTAGTCCATTATGTACAGATAAGGAAGTACAATGGTGTATGGAAGTAATATGTTTTGGGTTATCATTACCCCTAGCTGAACATGATACTGTTAGAGATTGTGTTAATGTATATTGCGAATGGTTATCTGCATTATATTCTACACCAAAGATTTGTGTACCTAGACCAATTGTAGATGATCCCAATTTTTATGCCAGAAAAATAATCAGTCACTTTCATAATTTGTTTGTTCCACGAAAAGGAGAAGGTAAATAAATCATTTTTATCTTTCTTCTCATTTCTTTTTTTTTATAATATCTAATATGAATGACTATCATAAAAATGAAGAGTTTATTAATGTTTAAATCTGTATTGATAAGTATAGTATTTTAATTCTTGATATATTAAACATAGTTTTTTCTAACAATTTGTCATTTTCCTCTGTAGTCTGGCCATTTTTATATCAGGATCTAGGTAATTTGTAAATAAAAATTACTGCATTTCTATATATAAAGAATGTATATTTTAATATAAATTTTATATACTTATTGATTGTAAAACATTAAATATTGTTTACAGGAACAGATACAATTAATCGACAAGCTGTTTTATGTCATAGAGTACTTAGAACATTACAACAAATTGCAAGAGGTCCTGCCACCTTAGAAAGAGAAACTTGGGAAAGCTTATTATTATTTCTTATTGGAATTAATGATGCACTTTTAGCTCCCCCAGCAACAAGAGAGGATGCTGGAGAACAATTATGTGAAAGAGTCCTTGGTGTACTATTGGAGGTATTATGTTTTATACCACTATTAATGCATAAGTAGTTTAATGAGATAGTAATTATCTAAAAATATTTTTAGGTATGGTTAGTAGCATGTGAACGTAATTTTCCGTCACCACCATTATGGCGTACATTAAGAGAATCGTGTCTTCGATGGCGACACAGATTAGCGCTGGTAGAACAGTGGAATCGTGTCTGCCTTGCCCTTACAGCAAGACTTCTACAAATTATGTATGGTCCGATGTTTCCAGAATTAAAAATAAGTTAGTTATTTTAATTCATAAGTTATTTACATATGTGTACAACTAAATTATTTCTCATGGGAGTAATTTATATTATTATTACGTTTAATACATTTAGGTGAAGAAGATTCTCAACTTGTACCACCTACAATGTCAGATGAAGCAGTAGCACAAGCATGGTACAGACTTTTGCGAACTATAGGTGATCCTGTTGATTTATGCAGACCTGCTGTTATTTCACAGACACAGGCATTTTTACAGTATGCTATTGCTAGTCCAAATGTAATAGATCCATGTCAACACCCATGTTTACAAAGTTTACCACAAATATTTTTAAAAGCCATAAAAGGTATAGCTGGACAAGTTGATGCTTTTCTTGGTAAGTGTATAATTATATACAACTTTGTAATATTTAAATATGACTGATTCTTGTGGGTAATATATATATATGTGCAAGTTATAAATATCAATTGTACATTATTTTTACAAAAAGCACAAATGATCTTTTTCTACACTACTCTTACTTTAAAGTAAATAGTTATAATGGGATATGGATTGTTTAACTTGCTTTAGTGGTGATGGTTGCACGCAGTCACAAATGTTTTAGGAGTTTCACAGGCATGCTGCTGGGAAGAATGTTGTGTATCTACCATCACATCTGGATCTGCTAGTACAGGAAGTGGAGGTGTAGGATGGGATAAATCAAGTAGCAAGGATATGACACAACCTTCTCCTACACCTCCAACACAACGCAGACTTGCCAAAAGTTTTAGTGTAACACCTTCTGCAGTGACTAAGGGTATTCAGCACTTATCTTCTGGCATTTTCTAATTATACTTTTTAAATTGTATATATTTTTAACAAATACTTCTGTATGCTCCTCACTTTCTTATTCTACAAAAAAAATACTACATTTTAATACTACAATGTTAGAAAAATATATTAAATTATGTATTGCATTTTATAATTCACTTCTATTATAGGAATTCCAAAATCATCCTTAATTGGTTTAACAACAAGTCGTGTTTCAAGTACACCACCTATATTAATATCTAATTCAGGACCATCATCTGCTTCAAGTACAACATGTAAAAGTTTACAAATTATCTTTCTTTAACAACATAATGTATTTAATGTACTATAAAATCGTTATTTTGTAGCTATGACTTCTTTAGTCCAAGATATTAGACCTCCTTTAGCTCCAGGACGTCCAAAGTGTAATAGTATATTGCACCTTTTTGGTGAATGGTTATTTGAAGCTGCATTCATAGGTACAGATGGATGGTCACAAAATTTACCACGTAAGCATTGCTTGATATATAACGTTAAATTTGAGCACATAATACAATCATTATTTTCCTTGAAAAACAGAACCGTCAGGTGCATCGAAACGTCCATCTTCAGTACTTGTTGAAGGTCCTAGTTCTTTGCAAGAAGCTGTTAATGATGTTCCACCAGCTCTTTGTATAGATCGTTATGAATCAGGGAGAGCAGAAGCTTTGGGAGCATTATGTAGAATATTTTGCGCTAAAAAAACTGGAGAAGAAATTTTACCTGTCTATCTGGCTAGATTTTATCAAGCAATGAATCATGGTCTTAAAGTTGATGAAGTAATAATTTATTTGTTACTATTTTATAAGTACAATATTTATAAAAGTGTAACTAAAATATGTTTAAATTTTTTTTCAGTCTCGAGAATGTGGAGAAACATTATCAAGTATTCTTTTGAATTCTGCTGATTTGTTTCGTCTCGATCTAAACGGTGTGCAAGTATTAGTACCTGCAGTAATATCAGCATTAGAAACTGTACTTCCAGAGAAAGATTTAAAACTTAAATCTAATGCAGTAACAAAACCAGATTTACGAAGGGCCTCAATACATTATAATTCATACAATTTTTACTTTATAGAATCTTACTATTAAGGAACTTCCATTATTTACAAGCCCAATGGTTGCTGAAAAATGTCATGTAACATTTGCACAATTAAAGTCAAGACTTATGAACTTGCTTATAAATGCGTTGCAAGTTGAAACTGATCCTCAGAATACTCATATGTTATTAGGTAAGTTAAATATTAGATATACTAGAATTTATATAACTCATTTTTTTTTAGGAGCTCTTTTGTTAAGTGTCCAGGACTCTGCAGCTGCAGAAGAAGTTGAGCAAGTTACACAGCCTGATACTATAGCACATGATTCTACTGTTAATTTATTATCGTCAGGTTTGTTCTTCTATATTATTTAAATAATATTAAGTTGCATTTATAAATTTTGAATGCACTGTTTAAAATTTTTTAAAGAATTATTTTTGTATTGAAATTTAAGAAGTAATTGCAAATTGCAGTAATAGTAGTTGGAATTAATATTAAATTATTCAAGAGGGCAAGTTATTTTATTTACCAGTTGTTTGTAAATTAAAATTTAATAATTCAGCCTGACATGCGATGTAAGATCATATTGCTTAACATTATTTTTTATTGTACTTGCTTTATGTGTGCTTTTGTAAGATATCATTCATTTTTATTATTATAAGTTGTGTTTTGTTATGCATTCACCATTGTACCGTTTCATCATTGCTTGATAGTCACCAGCGATTCTGCCAGTCAAATAAGCATATCCAGTGATCAACGCTCGCTCGGCGAAACCTCTGATATTACCACTCTTCAAGAGGAATGTATTGCATTTGGTAAATACAAGTATATTTTATATTAGTTTTGCTTTGGTTATTGTGTATACAAAAAATATCATGGAATATCATCTAATATTATTTCTATATTTTTGTTACTCATTCAAGCTTTTTTGGATAACATTGTGCAAAAGCTTGTATTTTTAAAGATTTGTAATATACTTAATATCTTAAAAATTAGTTAATTTTGTACATTTTAATGATTAAAAATTCGGATTATTGTTACAGATTCAGCTCATGCTCTCTTCGTGAGAGCAACGTATTTAGTTTGCCATAGATTAATATCATCATGGAAGACAGACCTAAATATTTCTTTAGCAGCTCTTGAAATATTATCAGGATTAGCAAGGACGCGCATTCGTGAAACAGGTAAACTGCAATGTTTGTCAAAATATAGTAGCATTTGTGGATTTAAATAACATCTGAATTTATATAACTTTAAACTTTTTACATGCAGCAAGGAAACTTACAGGTTCAATTATATTCTGCTATATAAACTACAATTTGAAATTTAACTGTAAAATATCAATTTTTAACAAATATTATAGATGCTTTGGAATGTAAACGTGCAGTGAAGTGGCTCTGTGATTATATTGTATATCAATGTTGGCGTCCACCGCCAGCTCATTCAAAAGATCTTCATTCCTCTATTGTTGCTGCATTTAGTTGCTTAACAACTTGGTTAACAGCTCATCCACAATTGCTTCAAGTTTGTATTTGATTTCTGTCTAATTGCAGCAGATATTACTTTCTTAACAAATTTATATATAGAATCATTGTTATAGGATAAAGATTGTTGAAAGAATTGAAACCAGCATCTATGCGTGTTAGAGATGCTGCTGATGCACTTCTTACAGTCATTTTAGAACAAGTAGATAAAAGTTTTTGTGATTTAAAAAAATTTTATGTTTAAGATAATAAATAAATTCATTTATTTATAGGTTGGCTATTTTCCTAGTGCATGTGGAGCACAATCATTATCATCGTTATTAGACGAAGTATCACTTCTCCGACATTGCAATAGTTGGACTGGTGGTCGAGTTCCGCGTCAAGCAGCAGTCGAAAGATTTAGATATTTCGTGGCTGAAAATGCTACAATATTAGCCTTATTAGAAGAACCTCTCGGGAATGATCAAGATCCGCAGCCCACTGTAACGGTATTGATACGTGGACCATTTGGCAGACACGCATGGACAATGCAACTTCGACATTTACCAAGACACAGGTCTAGTATAAGAAGTGTAAATACAAATCCAGGTCGACCACTACCATTAGCAGAAGCTGCTCCACGAACAGATTATAAGCCTCGATTTTTTCCTGATAATGTGGATCGAATACCACATTGCAAAGTGTATGTTAAATTTTGCTAAATTATTTATATAAATTTAGAAATATTTGAAGACAAAATACTAAAATTTTCTTTAGGGACGAATCTATACCAAGTTTAGAAGCAGTTATGAATGATAATGACATTGTAAGAAACGAGCATCAAATTTTATCACAGTTATTAGAACGTCAAATGAATATTGAAGCAAAATATTGCGATGGAAACGATAAAGTTTCAGAAGAAAAAACAGAAGAATGTGCACCACCACAAATTTGTCATGAATTTCAAACTGCACGTCTTTTTTTAAGTCATTTTGGTTTTTTAAATATGGAACCGAAAGAAAATAATGAATCTAGAAATAGTGGTCTTACCGCTTTAGATCCAACCATTCCAGGATTTTGTTTAGATTTAGAAACTTTAGATAATATTAGTCCAAGAACATGTGATACTGTATACATTTTTTATGTGAAAGCTGGTCAAAAATGTTCTACAGAAATATTGTCTAATGTGGTAATTATTTTTTTTAATTTTAGTATGTTTTATTATTATATTCAAATACATATAAAGCACTTTTGTATTTATAGTTGCATGAATCAAATGTATCGTCAAATTTCTTGGAATTTTTAAATACTCTTGGCTGGCCAGTTTCTGTATCAGTGCATGCAGGTTGGACTGGACATGTTTCTACTTCATGGAGGGTAACACCACAATTGAATGTACCACAGCCAGCTCATAGTGATCACGGCGGAGCTCTTTATAACGGTGATACTCACGTTCTTTACTGGGCTGACGTTAGCTCGGAAATTGCTTTTATTGTTCCCACTCAATCAAATAATATGGTAAATTCGGACTCATTAGAGGAAACAAGTTATGGTAGTGATACTAGTAGTAATCAAGGTACAATCTAAAAAAGAATGAGTAAGGATATATTGAAGCATACAATTTTATATAATTTATGTGAATTATATAATAATTAATAATTTCAGTTTGGTTTGAAAGAAGTATTAGCGAAAATACTTCTCGAAATAGTGGTATAGGACAGAACACAATACAAAACTCACGAACGATGTCTCTTGATTTAGAAAAGCAGCCATCCAGTTTGATAGGATCTAGTTCTTGTACTTCTTCTAGTGGTGATCTAGTTAAACCAAGAAGAACAACAAAACAAGTTTTACCTGTACAAACTGATATTAAAATTATGGTTGTTTGGTTAGAAAGTGTAGAAGATTATGCTCAATTTCCAATTGGTACCACCACACTAATAAAGATATTTATTTTCTTTAATTAAATTACAAAAACTTAATAAATTGTATTTTACACATAGGTGATCTTCTTCCTTGTACTTATACTGGTCTTGAACAATCCAGAGTGATTCAAGTATCAGATGTCCAAGTAATTTTTCTTCAAGCTCTTAGTAATGGGCTAATGAGAGTTAGATTGCAAGGTCCAATTTCTAGAATCAATCTAGCCACTCCTCTAATTGATGGAATGGTTGTATCTAGAAGAGTACTGGGAACACTTGTTAGGCAGACTGCATTAAACATGGGACGTAGGAAAAGACTGGACAATGATAGGTATATAAAACAGTATGAGTTACTGTTTTATAAACTCATTTTAATAATAGTAACATATTTAATATTTATATTATTTTGCAGTTATCATCCACCTCACGTACGTAGACGTTTGAAAATCCAAGAAATGGTACAAAAATATAGGAAGAATTTAACTGAACCAGAATTACTGACACTTTTATTTAGTAGTACTCAAACTTATAAAGTTCAGTAAAATTAACGTAAATCAAACGAAATTTACATTAAATTGCACATA